AGGTCTAGGAACAGCTTTTCCGAGTACAGCTCGGGTTTCACATACCATATTTTCTGTTCTTTAAGTTACACCCCCTTGCCTTATAAACAGTTGTTTTTACAAAAACAGTTGGTAGATAAGTGGAACTTGCATATTTGTAAAGTTCATGGGTGGATGTTAACGGCTTTACCTTTTATAGCAGGCGGTATAGTTTGCGCTACCTAGCCTAAAGATTAAAAACCAAAAGTATCATTCCTCCCTTTGCCCTTCTAAGCCAATTTGCTCCCCCTCTGCAATTTTGTAACTATCACCAGGCTGTGTGGCATATCACCAGGGGTCTCATGGACACTCAATGCGGCGAAACTGCATTCCTGAGCTAATGTGATTGCAATATATGTGCAAGTAAATATTCTCTTGCAATGAATCGAACGAGACAGGAAGTCTGTGCAGTTAAAAGGGTAGTGCAACAATATTGAATAAAAATGTCCCGCTTTACACGAGCGTGCTGGCATTAGAGGGACCCAAGTATACTCCAATGCAATGCAACCGACCAAGAAGCTTCTTTGTCGCTGCGTAATTTCAAGGATAAAAGCCGGCGTTTGTTTTTAGTTTCTCATGCGTAAAACTTAATGCAGACGTTGTGGTGATTGCATTCTTAGCGGAATCAACATTGTGATCCTCAGGATTTCGTCATCAAGCTTTACGTTACCTGTGGTGACCATATTTCAATGCTGCTCGTACAGTGGACATTAGCACTGCGTGAGCATTAAATTTGGGATCATGAGAATCAATGCCCTGACATGCATTCGGGTAATGGCGGCTCGTGCCCAATCGCTGCGACGTGGGTCTGGACATTTCATCGAACACCGTTTTATCGAACACCTTTTCATTGCAGACGTCTCATCAAACGCTTCGTCGAACGCCATTTCATCGAACACCATTTCATTGAACACCGCCTACTTGAGCAGGAGGAATTCTACACACAGGAAATAATTTTCTTTTAGTACCAGGAGGATAGCAGTGTTATATTATTGATTATAATTTTTAAAGTTATAAACTTATAAAAGAAGCACGTTTTTTTTTTTATTTCTATTTTTTTTTTTTTTTTTAATAAACGACTTTTGTTGTTAATGTGGCCAGTAAAGAGCAGGAACACCGACGACACTTTTTAAACCTGTGAACACTGGGTGCAGTGATGAATGCACGTTCGTACAAGGGCATATCTTCGTCGTTGAAGAGACGTATTCTGCTTCAAGACGAAGGCGAGTTCTTGAAGCAATGGTCTGGGTCTCCATGTCGCATGATGCAGAAAAAAAGACCTGTCTCCCCTCTTTGTTCATTTATTGTAACCAACAGAACCGTGCACCTGCCGGATTTTTAACATACAGTGTATGTTGTTCAGTGGTGTACCAACTTGTTTTTGACTGGGGGGGCAAACCAAACCCCCCCCCCCCCCCCAGGGCCAGGCGGCGGTGCCCTTGGTATTTCTCGGGTGCCGCCGGTCAGTGTTTGCCCTGCCCAGTGGCGGCTGTTTCAGGGGGGGCAAGACACATACCTTGCCCCCCCACTATGAGAGCTGGGGGAGAAAGCGCCCCCCTTGCCCCCCCCCGGTTGGTACGCCCATGATGTTGTTAAAAAAAAAAAGCTATTCTCCTAGGATAGAATGAAAATACTGTGGCGAATAGCCGATTCCCTTTTTGGAAAGTGACTTTCATGCGTGAACGAAAGGGGGGATAAAGTGATGAAAAAGTGTGTGGTGGAGAACAGCTACTTACCTCGTTAGAAAAGAGTGAATTGCAAACCCACTCAAGTTTTGATATGAAAGCTACCTTCTATATCTCAGTAATCAACGTTTACGTAAAAAAACAATTGACCGGGGTAGTAATTCTTTTTTTGGTGATTCGAGAGCAGCGTCAGAACTATTTCAAAAGTGATAGTAAATTATGTAAAAAGTATTGTAATGCTCCAAAATTTAGTAAAGAAAAATTCGATGAAACGATGCCAAGCGATTTGATGGAACGGGGTTTGACGGATTGGCATTCGATAAAAGGTCCACTCATTCGATGAAACGGTGTTCAATAAAATGTCTGGTACCCACTGCGACAACGGGAGTAGCCAAACCTTAATAATATCTGGAACTCCGTGCATGCCCTGTACTTTGCCAAATCCAGCGCGTGGCTCTGACAAACATTGGTGGCATATAATTGGCTCCAGATCACGTGGCTGCTTCTTCTGGCTACAAGTCAAGGGGGTGAATGCTGCTCCTTTTTCTCTCATTCTTTCTTTGACTGCCATTGTGTGTTTCATAGGTTATGAATGTCGAAGAAATACTTCTAAGCTGCATCTACTAAAAGTATGTTACAGTTACAGAAAGGAAAACTGTAATAAGTCGAACCATTGCATAAAAGACACCGACGGAACTTTTGAAAAAAGAAAAACAACTTGTACACCGGAAAATATAGTAAGCTTGAGACATCAGTAGTGAAAGGCTTGGAGGTTCTCAAAACTGGGTTTCCAGGAACCCAGGGGCCACCAGAGTACAGTGTTCCCCAAGTACCCAAATTTTCTCGGTCAGCCCCATCCCGAAAGCATTTCCCCAGTTTAAACAGTATTTCAGCATGTCTGAAGCTGCATTGATGTGCAGCTATGATCCAAGCACACCCCAGTGTGTTTGGATCATAGGTCGTCGTACTGCTTCTACGGAGACATGTAGCTCTCCATACTGCTTGTATGCAACAATGTTGAAGGAGACAGGAGTTCCTTGGCTGTCATTCAAAGCAGACGGGCGTTCCTCAGGATCAAGGTTTAAGAGCCCCTGGCTTGGAGAAAGGCGCAACTCTTCAATATTCAAATTTAAAATATTCTTAGGTTTGGAAGCATGCTAGCTTCCAAACCTAAGAGATAGTGCTCAAAGCTATCAGTGGTGGGGATGCCTTGCTTTCTTAAGAAAAAACGAAATTACATTCATGCACGGCCGATTCGCATATTAAAAAAGTATAAAAGTTCCTAACACTTACAATGGTACACTATGACAGACATCGCTACCGAACCTTGCTGAATATGGTCGGGACGACAGACGGCGCTTGTCAGACTCGCAAGCAATGGGTTCCCGCATGGACAAGCGGGATTGTTCAGCCGCTCGTCCACGTGGGAATCCATCGCTTGTGAGTGGCTGACAAGCACCGTTTGTCGTTCTGACCATATTCAGTATAAAATTCAGTAAGGTTTGTAGTGCCATCTGTCGTACTGTACCAACGGTAAGTGTCTGAAAGTTTTATCACTTTTTTAATATGCAAATCGGCCGCGCACAAGTGTAATTTCGGGTTTTTTAGGATGCTTAGAGCTTGAGTAGTGATAACGAAACGGGGCTCTCAAAAAGCACTTTAGTGGTCCTTTAAGCGGCGGTTGAGGGTGCTGTCCTGTTGCCCCAATAGACGGTCCCTGTACCATAGTACGAAGCATCTGTATATGAAGTTCGAAAGGGCAGTTTGAAATCTGGCAGTACTGGGACCAGTTCAGAAGAAATGACCTTGACCGGGTACTTGTACAGCCCCTCGCACTCATCGGACCAGACAAACGGAGTATCTTTCAGAGTCGACGCAGTTAGGTGCTTTGTTTTCGTGGCATGATCTTTTATGAATGCCCTAAAATTACCAGCAAGCTGGAGAAAAACAAAGCTAGCGTACGTTGAAGGGCTTTATCAGCTTGCAAAATCTCGGCACAGATTCCTTTTTAGTACTTTTTGTTTGACAGTAAAAAATGCTGAGGAACAATACTTTCTTTTTTTATGTTAATCTTCAACCTGGTGGTGCTCAGTGCTCCCAAGACAGATGGTTGGTGTCTCTCTTGTTTGGGAAGATACAATACTGTCGACATAACTCTTGTTTGGGAAGATACAATACTGTCGACATAAATGTTACAGAAATGACCGAAAAGGTCTTTGAGCACTTCATTTGTTATAAGAAACCAAGCTCCAGAGTCCTTCGATCCAAATGGCAGCCAGTCATACTCGTACACATTGAATGGCGTCTCAAAAGCAGCAAAGCATTAAGCGATAATCCGTACAAAGATGGAGCGTGCCACCTTCTTTTGGTACAATGGCGATCGGGGATGCAAACGTTGACGTCGATGGTCCAATGATCTCGGCATCTGGAATTTTTTGAGTTCCGTACTTTAGCCACACTTTTGCTTTGCGAGACATACAATAGGGCTTTCTTCTTACAGAAGAGGTGTGGTGTAACTTGAAGTGAACCTCAATAACTGAAGTGGCTGGTGGATACGATTCAACACATATCTGTTCCAGGTACGAGATAGGCTTTCCAGTATTTTTGGCAATGAGCTATTTGAAGAGGAGTCCCCGGCTGAATTTCTGTACCCTGGTCGAGGGTCACTTTGTCCATGCAAGATACGTTCATTTGAAAGCACTTCATATCGGGCAGCAATAGAGGGAACTCGGGCTCGACCTCTTCTATGAGTGCATCCACTGACAGTTTCCTTCCCTGGGGCTTAACTTCCAATATCACCCAGTTTTCCGTCAGCTTAATTAACAATGTTGCTGCAGCTGTGAACTTTGATGGGTGCTCAATCTATCTTTCCTGCATCTATGATATTCTTACTGACAAACATAATGGATGCACCAGTGTCAACTAATGCATCAACGTGTCTATCAATGACAACATGAGCTTAAAGAATGCTGCACTTAACCAAGTAAACAGTCGCTTTCTTCGTCATTGGGTGGGGCACTACACCTTTCTCTATTGGTTTTCTTTTCTTTTTTTGCTTTTTATGTGGTTGAGCGTCGACTCGTTAATCCAAGGGGCTTACTTGCCTGGCATGCTGGTAGCTCGTTTCCGCTACAGATGTCGAAAGTTTGTAGGGAGAAGAAAATTCTGAGCATTTTCTCAAATTAGAGAACTATGAGGTCAAAGCAAAAAAAAAAGTAAAATAATAATAACTTTGAACCTTCTAGAGAAAGTGCTTTATTCTTTTGTACTTGTCCAACAAACAAGGAATGCAGTCACTTATTTATGGTAAACTTTTAATTCTGTAATATTTCACACTGGTACTCCCTGCACAGCATCCAATCAAAAGGTGCCTCCGATGGCACTCATGTAGCAAATAAAATCACAATGAAAAACATTAGAGCCCTGTGATTGTACATAGTACAAGAGAAAGTCCTTCTGAACAAGCAAAGCAGATTACATTTGCCTGACAGAGATGTGATGCAAACTGATGACTTCTTCAAAGAGGTCTTGCATTGGCTTCTACTTCTGAATCTTTTCGATCTCGTCCATATCATCAGCATCTAACTTCAGGATTGGTCGGCCTGCAAAATACAAGGCAAGAAAGATAGTATTCCATGTAGCACCGACCGTGCAAGATTTGATCTAACAAAGTTTAATTCACATAAAAGTCAAAGTTGTCACGCAAATTCAGATGCAAACACTTTGCAACTTCCTCGCTAAATTCAAAATAAAACAGTTGAACCAGACGACAACAAAAAAAAGTGATGTAGTCAGACCATCAAAAATAGCTAATCTGACAAGAGAACCACAAAGAGCCAACATGTATCAGGGTGGCCTTAAAATCTAAAAGCAGAATCAGCATTACAGAAACAAACTGACCAGTGAGGTAATCAGTGACACGTCTGAATGGTTATAATCAGACTGCATTTATGTATAAAAAAAACTTGCATTATACAAGGAGTTTTTGGAAACATGCCAAATTGGTCCCGCGAAAACTATGCATCGCAGAGAAGAAAGGTTGATGCCATAGTGGCCTGTGCCAAAGGGCTCATTAAAAAGTGATTAGTCTTCAGTATAATTGGGTAACTAATTACATGTTAGGAATTAAATTTTTAAATATTGACTTTAAAGTAACAGTTTCAATCAGAAACATGATGCAAATCATTGAAAACTACTAAATCCACCCATAATAAAATTATATCAGGTTTGCGCAGCATTTCAAAAACGTCCCGAAAAATTGCTCAACTTAGACGTGTTTCTAGGTTTCGGTTTCATATCTACGACAGCAATCCCGCCCCCCCGTGGCTAAAACGTGCAATGTGCATGCGTCGCCACGCATCGCACCTAAAGTGACGTCTTCCCACTGGCACCGACGTCAAAAAGGCAAACCTCCGGTTGTAGTTTGAAGGTCTTCTTATTTAGCCTCCTTGCATGCAATGCGTGGTGTTGCAGGTACATTGTACATTTTGGCCACGGGGAACGGGATTGCTTGGGTGGAAATGCGCTCCGATAAGAAACCGAAACCTAGAAACGTGTCCAAATTGAGCATTCCTTCGGAACGCCATAAGGTGCTGCATGTGCCTTGTCTCGTAGTTATTTGAATGGATTTAGTAGCTTTCAATGATACCCAGCAAGTTTCTCACTGAAACCATGTCTTTAAAAGTAATAACTACAAATTCAATTACTGGAATGTAATTAATTACCCAATTACACTGAATGCTAAATCTCTCTTAACAGGCCCTTTGGCACAGACCACTACAGCATCAACCTTTGTTCTGCGCGGTCCATATGTTTCGCAAGAGCGATTTGGCCCGCACTTCTAAATACACATTGTATAAACATGAAAATATAGGTACACCCACAAGTAGCAACTCATAAAATCTGTATTCATGTTTGCCTCGAAAAGTATATAATAATTACTGTAGAATACCGGGCATCTGCCCATTTCACTCAGTGCACACCCCCAAAATTTGAAATATATAAAAAAAAATATGCACGGTACATTTATATATGTAAAATCGATGACCTCACATACACCCATCCCATATTTTTTTCATGATTATCTTCAAATTTTGAGTGGGCGCTTGCTTGGAATTTTATGATAAACCTATCACCAGTGAGAAAACAACTAAATGTTACTTAAAACGGGAACACACAAGGTATGTAGGAAGGATGACAGACAAAGGTAAAAAAACATTCTGAACTAGTTTAAACAATAAATATATAATAGTCAAAAGTCGTTTTATGTGTCTTGAAGGCTAAAAATACTAGCAACTTTTGACAGAGGCTGTTGTACCATTTAAGCATTGCCACAGCTGCTACAGTTTATGGTTTGATTGCTTCTAGTGTCGACTTTGAGATTACTACCCATATTGAGTTCAATGTTAACTAAGGTAGTAACATTTAAAAAATTCCATACAAACATTCAGAAACATACCTTCTTAATGTAATTTTCTAAGGAAAGAATGGCAAATGTATACAATGCTTTCCAGATAGCGAGCGCACAAACCAAAAAGATGTATATTGGGGGCAAAGTGGAATTTCCACAAACTATTCCAAAATGCTGAGAAAGAGCCCGTTTAAAAATAGGGAGGTAATTGTTGCGAAGTTGAACATCAAGTGCTTGCTTCAGTCATATTTATACTTATTTTATGGGCCCTAGCCTGTTCCGAGCTTCCAGGGAAGAAATCTAGGGGTACTTGCACCAACATTATCACGGCTTTCAATATCTATGTGCCAGAGTTTCCTGTTTTGCTCGTTTATTTTTCGGTTTTAGGAACAAGAGTAAAGCTTCGAAATCTGAGTAAACCCAAGAAAAAGCAAAGCCTTCTTGGGGAAATTTCAAGTTGGTTGGACCTCTAGAGCTTTGCAAATCATAAAACTTGTCATTTTCTTTTTTCATCATTTTTATTATACCATAAAGTACCAGGCGAGCGCCCGCTCAAAATTTAGAGATAATCGCGAAAAAATGGGGGATAGGCACTTGTCCGGTCACCAATTTTACATATCAATGTACTGTGCATATTCTCTCAGATCTTACAAATTTCGGAATGGGTGCTTAGTGTGGAATGGGCGGATGCACGGTATTCTACGGTAATAGTTTGCCATCAATAGATTGTGATGCTCAACCAGTGGCATCACTAGGGAGGGGGGGGGGGGGGGGGGGGGGCCGGGGGCAGTGCTCAAGGGGGTGCAGCTGGGCAATAAAAGGGGGGGGGGGGGTTGTGGCAATCCACTGCCTTGGGTGCCGCTGTCCCGAGCAACGGCACTGTGCTCAACGACACTGAAGGTGCACATGACAGCGTAAACCTCAGCTGCATTTTTTTAGGAAGCACTGAACTCCCAAAAACCATATATTTTTCAAGAAGCAAGCAGAGCGAAGCGAGCGGAGCGAAGAGAAGGGGCACGCACCGAAGTGTTCCTCGATCTGCTTGAGCACAGCCATGCTGCGGCTGCCGTCCACCATGTTGACGGCCAGGCCCGACTTGCCGAAGCGTCCCGTGCGCCCGATGCGGTGCAGGTATGTCTCGCAGTCTGCCCGCCCCTTCATGTCTACGGGCAGGTCGAAGTTCACCACCACCGTCACCTGCTCCACATCAATGCCTGCAACACATTGATATGGCCAGGCGCATCGTAAGATGGAGCGAGCGGTTTCTATCTTGGAAAGAGCGGGTTGGTTCGCTGACCGCTGCGCAGCTTGCCGCGAAGATGCAGTCAGCACTGAATAAACATTCCGAAAATTGTTTGCAACTGTCTTCGTCGAAAGCGACTAGAAATGAAAATCGTCACTTTTATATGAGCCGGGGTCTGTTTCTATGCAACTGAGTGGGTCGATTGACTCTCCCTACATCCTATTGTTTAGTGAAAATTACTTGTACATGCTTCCCCCTCATAAATCTTTAGTTAGAAATAACAAAATGCATAGTTAAAAGCATTCTGGCAGTCTCAGAGATTGACACACGTTTGAGGAAAATAAGAAATACAGTGTAGACCGCATATAACGTATGTCACGGGAGTCGCAAAATTCTGCACTATAAGCGTTACTGCACTATAACCAAAACATCAACTTTTCATGTCAAAATACATGCCATAAGACAACTCACCTTTGTAAAACAATTTATTTTATGTTAGATAAAAAATAAAGCTCAGTCTGAGAAAAGTTCTTATTTCACTAGACTCGTCTGTGATCCGCTTTCGGACAGTGATATCGTGAAAGTGGTTAGGCCCAAGAATGGTTGCGTCGCTCTCCATGCTGAGTGAGCTCCGTAGGGCGCTTTTTCTTTGGCAAAAGGCATGCCAAAAGCATCCTAAAAAAAGGTTTGCTATATATAGAGCATGGTTACTGTGGCACGCCCATGACCGGTGGGGGTGCGCCTCTCTCAGTGGAGACGTGCCACAGTACGCTGCCATGTCATATTGGCACCTAAAATGACATTTGCATAAAGTGTGTAAATGCAAAAATTTTGCCCCGTGTATCCCCCAAATATGTGTCAATTTTTCTGAAAAAAGTGTGTTCAATATGCAAGTAAATACAGTAAGTAGACAGGCTTTTTAAGGGACGAACCGGGTAAATACACCATTTTTGTCTCATTATTAAGGATGATTTTATGGAGGAATAGAGGTGTCCACATTAATGGGACATCATTGTACACCCAGCAGAAATCTCTGGAACTTTAAAGAGCAAATAGAAAGGAAGCTCGTACATTGGAACCTCAGCCCTACAAGGTGAAAGACAGCTCCTGAAACCACAGTAAAATGCATCAATTGAGTGTAAAAAAACAAATAAGTGCTCACCCCTAGCACAGACATTGGTGGTGATAAGGACACGCTCCATGCCCTTGCGGAAGCGGTCCAGAACCGCAATCCTCTGGTCCACGGTCAGTTCTCCGGAGAGAAGCGCCACGGCATGACCCTCCTTGCTCATCTGCCCCGAGAGCCAGACAGCCGTCTGCCGAGTCTGCGCAAGGAATTGAGCCGGAACGATGAAACACAAGCGCGGAAGACGTCCTGGCAGCTGCCTGCTTGCCGAAACGCATTGCGGAAAAACTAGAGAAAAGACGCGACGGACAAAGTCAAATTCAAGGGAGTCTACATGTTGAAGCAAGGAAAGGCCTCTATCTGGCACGCCCCAGTGGAGTAAAGCCCCTCGATAAAATTTACGTTCCGTGAACATGCACGACACATGCCACGAGCGAGTGCACCGCTGCCATTTGCTTCATGGGGCCGTTCATTTCAGTCCTGCGCCGCTGTTTGCTTCCAAGAGTCGCACGAGGAGTGGGCCTCACGCAATGGCACATTTCACGCTACTTGTAGGACAAACACGTCGAAGGGCCTTGCAGTGGAGGTTCGAGGATTAATTTCGACCACCTAAGGATCCCTTGACGTGCAAATTAAAACTCGGTTACGAGGCGCATTCTCCTCAATATGACTCGTCAGATTTGACCCGGACCTATACACGCCAACTGGGGATCCGTAGGCCGGCATTTCGCCTTGGAGCCATCGAAGCGGCTGCAAGATACGATGTACAAAGAACGAGAGGTGACGAAACCAAGCACGCTGGAATGGTAGAATGCTAAATAAATTCTACGCGGATGCATGGACACAGACCAAACAAATGCACCAGAAGCAGAGTGGTAAAGGCGGGAGCAGAATGCGGCAAATCGTAAGCGTTGACATCGGCGGTCCCGAGAGCGACGGGTTGAGGTTGTTGCGAGTGTTTGTCAATTTTATCCTCTTTTATACTATGGGCAACGTCTGCATTTTCTTGCAAAACGAACCTAGAAAATACCAAGCGCAGTCCTTGCAAGTGTTGTTTCACAGCTTCTTTATGTGCATCAAAGCATCACTGGCAATATGGACCCATCGGGCGACCAATGTCTACGTCTGCGCCCCGCCGTCCCGAAGCGGCCGGCGTTCTCAAGTTTTAATCTTGAGACATCCCTTTTTGCCTCGAATGGCAGCTTTCCTCGTCTTGGCATTGATTCAATAGAGCAGTGCAGAAGCTTATGGGTCTTATAAACAATAATGCACCCACAAGAAAGTGTTTGGCTAATAGTCATGAACCAGTGGGTGGCTGAGAGCTGCTAGAATAGTGCTTAGGGCGGAGAAACCCTTTGCCTTCGAGAGGGGACAGTCAGAGAAATTTGTAAACTCGGGGAACCCGTGAGAGTCAATCTGGGGAACCAAGCTTCAGAATCCGTGCTATCAATGAATGAAAAAGACTCCATGGCTGGAAGGAATCGAGTGCTGCAAAGAAGCGAGCAAACGGGAACGCACGTGGCAGAAGATGATGGTCTGTCCGATGGAGAGCACCCCGTAGATGTTGGAGATGGCGTTGAACTTGTCCTCCATGCTTGTGCACTGGACGTAGTACTGCTTGATGTTGGCCAAGCTCTCCTCCTCCTTTCGCAGGCGGATCACCACGGGATTCGAGATGATCATCTCCGCGAAGTCCATTACGTCCTTGTCGTACGTCGCCGAGAACAGCATCATCTGGCACGTCGGGGGAAGGCGCCTGCCGGCACGAAGACAGAAAATTCTCATTCCCGGAGGCCATAATCAGTCACCACGGCGTTTTGTGTTCTTCCAGAAACACAAAGCTCACAGTGAGAAAGACGCAGCAAAGGCGAAACGGGCAGAACAAGCGCACCACTAGGTGTACCGGCAATCGAAAGGCTCGCTCCATTGCGTCAGCATTTATTCTCGGCTTCATGACTGCTTCAAGCCCTGCTATGAAAGCATTGCTATTTGTTCTCTGCATCAGATTTTAAATATACTATTGCACTTTCTGTGTATATTGTCATTCTGAAAGCAGCTGACGACAATGAACGACCTGCTAGGCGCACACCTGTGACAAAGAATATTTGTGTTTTCTCTCACCGTCATCGCCAATTTACAATACGCTTTGGTTTTTCTTTGACAAATGGTCTATTGGCATAGCAGAGCAACACCAACAACACAAGGCTGAATTGATACTTGAAGTAGTTTTGACTACTGTATTTTCAAATGCGTCAGTAGTGGTTTTTACACAAAAATTGTTGTCAGTGCGTCCAATACAATAGTGCGACTTCAATTACTGTAAGCGAGTTATTTTTCGCAGGCTCAATACTTCACAATTTAGGTCAAAGCTGAAGTTTTGGAATAGTTCCCGGGTTCTAATTTTTGCGACATGGTGGGATTTCAATATAGATTCCAATGTTTTTACATTTTACCAGCATTGTTTGCGGGACCTATTTTTCGCGAATATCAGGCAATTCGCAAAATTTGCAAAAATTAGGTTTTTGCAAAAATTAGGTTAATTACAGTCATGTTTTTTGTGTTTTTTTTTGCAAGTACAATTGTTACAGTGCAAGATGTGGGCCTTTTGGCATTTATGACACAGGAGAGACAACAGAGCATTCACCGATGACCCGCTCTTTCGGCAGTCCGAAGACAATGTGAAGTGTGGCGGCAACGGTCAATGGTTGCAGCGACTCAACATGTCATACTTAGCAGCGCTTTGTAACTATGTAGTAGGGCAACTTACGCGACAAATTTTTCGTGAAAAGTGCCGTTCATAGGGTGGTGCAACGGATACAATGGCGCAACATACGGACCAGAAAGTATGGTACTGTTGAGACTGGTCGTAACAAAGTCAGCGGGAATCGGAAATTTCTTCGCTATATCCGCCATATCCAGACTCCATTAAAATAAAACACAAAAGATCAAGAGCACGGGCACAAATTTATTGCACCCGCAAAAAGCGGAGAAGGGTTCTCTGATCATAATTTCCGAGCATATCTTTAACGATAACTCAATGCCATCTAAATGGGAGAAGCAGCTCCGATATAGGGGAGGAGTACCTATCAAGTATGCACAGACAGTGCCAATGGCTGCGATGGCCACCGCAAAGAACACCGGCGGTGGTGAGCGGGAGGGGCTTCGTTCACAGCGACCCGTAGCTCGCACTTGTTCAGGGTGCCTCGGACGATCTCATCTGTCGACGTATCCTCGGCAGTGATAAGGTCGAAATTATAATGCAATTAAATGCAAAGGTGGAAGCGAGCTGGACAAGGATGACGAAAGGGGTCCCAGGTTCGATACCCGGACCAGGCGGATTTTTTCGGTCAAGCACCAGTCACCTAGCTGTGTTTGGAGATTTGTGTTTGTCTTTTGTCCCTCATGTTCCCCTTCTCCAGGGATTATTTTTGTCATAAGGTCATTGTCAGCAGACACCAAGTCCATGCGGTTTAAGCAGTCTTGTACACGTTACTCGAGAAAGTAATAATTACAATTACCCTTGGTTAAATAGTATTCAATTAGGTTACTTTATCACTCGAAAAGAAAAGTAATTGGCCATTACTTGAAAAGTAACCTTTTTTTTCCGATTACTTCAGATTTTAAAAACGACCAATTTTTTCGCGGGTCTGAAAACGAGTTTTTCGTACTGTCTGTTATTGATCTAAAATCGCAAAATTACAAACCACCTTTCTTCTTAATTCACCAATTTTCATAAACCATCTTTTTCACGGAGACTTGGTTCGAGGAGGTCTCTGTTGGAAACTTGATAAAACAAAGGAGAGGGAAAATACTAACAGTTACAAGTAATAACTTTCAAAAGTAATCAAATTACTATTGCGATTCCTTACTAATATATGCATTCAAGTGATTGTAAAATTACTTCGAAAAGTAATTGAATATACAAGTAATTTGACTACTCGTAAAAAGTACCATACAAGTCTGGGTATACGCCAAGCGGGACAAGGTTAGCCTCACTGGTGTGGTCCCACGACTGCTCGATGCCAAGTGAAGATGTGGCACCGTCGGTGGCTGGGATAATCTCGACGACAGTTTCGTTTCCAACATCTCCAACAGCAGCTCCGGCACTTTGCAGCGCAAAACTAGCCTTACCAAAGCGGCGGGAGATGGCTCACGTCTCTTCAGGCTCCACTCACGGAAATGACGTTCTGGGAGAGTGCAATCTTCAAGCCCTTCGGATTCGTAGAGGTCCGCATGTCGACGGGAAGTGCTCAGTCACGCGGCGACAATAGCTCACCTCGAAGTTTGCTACGATGACCTGGTCTGAGTCTTGGCCGTCATGTTGTAAGGTGGGAAGAGCACCTCGATGTTGTCGACGTGCGCATTCACACAGTGCGCAGTGCAATTGTCGAGCAACGTGAGTATCTTTTGTTTGTTCTTGACCACATCTTCGTCGAATTCCGTCAACCAGCAGTCCCTAAAGAGGTCGCGCGTCATCCAGGCCTTGCTCCAATTTCTGTACCACATTGGTAAGGACAGAATATCCGCAAAACTCTGCGGGCCGCGTGACTTTCTGAGTACAGAAGCATCCCGCTTATCGGATCCGTCCATGTTTGGACGCAGGAACACGGTCATGCGGTTCTTACCATCTTCACCGCTGACGCACTGGTGTGCCTTGCCCGCTAACGTCTTGGGTGGAAGGAGTTGGAAAAACAAGCACGTCTCGTCAGCGTTGTAGTAGATGCCTCTGTTAACGTACTTGGACGAGACTTGATCAGCGTGCTCTGCCATCCACTTTCCTAAAGATTCTTCGTCGACGGACGCAGCTTTGCCGATGATGCTCTTGTATTTGACGTCATGGATACTCCAGTGATTTCTTTATGGTCGCCGATTTGCCCCAAGGTTGTCTCAACACCCCGAGAGACACGGCTGTACCAGTCTCCCAAGTATTGTTTGAAAAAAAAAAAAAAAAACATTTTCGCAAAATTGTTGAATTTCCAATTTTCGTTCTCATCACATTTTTGAAACCGAGAGCCCCTACTATCGACACTGAAGTGTGACGACAAAGATGATACAAAGTGGGCAATAAACTATGTCCCAACTGATTACAAGACGTTTGATGGTGCAAAAAGAATAATTGGAAGCTCATTCACCGAGAAACGTGAAAAAATGCTCGACATGGTCTGATTAAGACTACCTGCGTGACCTGAAAGTGTGTACCATTTGTGACGTCACACTAGTGGAGAGAACACGGAAATTTTAATATTGGTTCAGGTATCATCTTCATTTACAGTTTTCTCAATAGCTACTTTGAATTTTGAGACAATAAATCAGTGCAATTCGCTTATAAAGATACTATATATAATGATCTACCGCTTATAACAATCAGTTTCTAGAGTTTCTAGACTAGAAACAATCAGTTTCTAGTCCAGATACAACGATAATCATAACGATAGTATTTCCAGGTTTTTTCATTATCGTTGTAAGTGGGCTGCACTGTAGCACACCGTGAAGACTAAAGTCCATGGGCATTCAGAAAATGCAATTTGTATGGGTAGCTCAAAAAATGGCTGGACTACCCCTTTAAATCGCTGCACCTATCTGTTCTGTGGCTGGAAATTGTTGTGGCCAAGGGCGAATTTAACGTTCCGGGGCCCGCGTAAAAACGAGGGGTCCGCTAAGGGAGATAGATGCGTTTCGTACGGGGGTCGATGAACCATTTATAGAGCGCCTCTTCAACATAGAGGAACGTGGCACTACAAATTTTGGCCGGCACGGCGTCAATCTTGTCGCCATTCTCTGTGATCGTTGACGGCGACAATTTCACCATCCCATTCTCGGGAGCAATGTCGGTTTTCTCCACGTTTATGCAGACGTCGTCCAAGACGGCCTGCTTCTGCTTCAGCAAAATCGCTTTCCTCTTTATGGTCGAGGTGCCGGGGCTTGGTGCACTCGCCATCGTGCCGATGATCCTTCGAGTCGGCGGCTAAGCACCGTCCAAGTCAGTTTTCGAAGTCCAAACCAAGAGTCAGAGTGGGAACATGGCGAAATAAAACTGCAACGCTGGCGGCACAGAGCACACAGCAAACAGAGCGCGGTCAGCGTGGCAACGTCAGCACACGGGGCAAGGCGTGGGGGACGTCGTTACTCAGAGTTGCTGCCGCTCCACACAATTCCTAGCGTGCAATGTGGGAAAGCAGGAAGGGGAGAGCAAGGACGCTGCAGCTGGCAGCCTTTGCAGTGTCGTCTGTTCTTCCTAACTTTTTTTATGTTGGTTGCCGCGCGGTCAGCAGTGCCTAACTGGTATACTCTGCGGCTCGGAAACTTTTTTTAAACTAAACTATTTCTTCGGTCGTCACAAAATGTATTTACGCTACATTGCTCTAACCAGAAAAAAACGGGTGGAAAAAGCACAAATGGGAAGGGGGAAACCGTAATCGCTCCATTGTAACCGCTATTTCATTATAACCAGTCACGACGGTATGCGAAAAAGAAGTGTGGCATACTTGTGCAGCCGAATGGACTGGTCGTGGTGCCCCTGCTGCGCAATCATGATGTCTGCCTCGTCCAGCACAAAGACCTTGATGCGGCCGATGTCGAAGAACTTGAACTTGAAGGCCCAATCAATGATCTTGCCCGGCGTGCCCAGGATCACCTGGTCCGTGATCTTGTCCCCCTGGTTGACTGGACAGAGTTCAAATGCCAACAGTCAGGAAACTACAATAGTAACAGAACATGGCAAATCTGGTCATGGACGAACCCAGAGCCTGCGGACATGTATGAGTCAAAGCCAAGATTGAAGAATGTGTTGCATGCGTGCAAAGCCTCTGCATTTCCTTTGTGCGTTGCTCCTTTTGGTCCCACAGAACACTCGTGAAACTGAATAGACCAATCTCGCACGCTAGTTTCGTCATGCCTCTGTTGTGGCATGCATCATGGGAACTATAGTCTTTCTACATGAGCGACAAACCCGCTGCGGGTATCAACGACCAAAGCACCGGATGGTACGAACTGTCTTGTGCACTGGCACCCAGCTCCCACGGGCTACAATAGCGGTGGCGTCGCACACGCACAGAACACTTAATGAGATTGTTCTATTTATTGTCAATAACTTAACTCTACCTGAAAAAAGCGGAACACAGCAAGCTAAAGAAAGGAAGGCGGGTGCTCACAGGTTACTCCTCGGACAGCATAGCAGAAGGTAATCTTGGTGCAGAACTGTGCCATCTGCTTGGCCACTTCCCCCGTCTGGATGGCCAGCTCGTACGTGGGAGACAGGATCAGTACCTGGATATTTGCATATACATGGGCCCCACACCATAAGAAGAGAGCGCACCACAAAGTCAGACAAAAAGAAGAATGGGGCAAAGGTCCGAGTGCATTTACACTACCGTGTAACGTGCGTAACAGTGCCAGCAGCTCGGCCGACGCCTGCGTAATATTCCGGCACCGTTGTCATCTCTGTGCCGCCTCCTGACCTCGATCCTGAGGCTTTTCAAGCTACCTTCGCTTCCGCCCTTGATTGTGCAACCGTGCCTCTATCCACAGACGCCTCACAGACGAGCCAGATTACAGCTGCCATTGCTGACCTTCTCTTGTCTTGCCGAGATATCGAGCCGCTGAAACGGGCATCGATGAGCCTCCACAAAGGCCAATGCTGGGGAGGAGGACACAATAGAATCTAAGATGGCAATAACGTGGCCCACTATGGTAATGATGAAGTGAAGTAAAAGGAATTAGAGGAAACAAAAACGGAGGGTCAGTTACAGCAGCGCCCGTGCGACGAGCCTTCTCAGCTGACATTAAGTAAAGCACGTATACTAACGCTTCTAAGGCGCTTTAGACGGGCGCGAAAAATCGGTTTCTCAACATATCGTGTCGCAATTTACTACAGAGGTGCAAGCAAATAATAAAAACGTACGGTGGAACAAAATAAATAAAAGATAACTTACTTCGTAAAAAAAAAAAAAAAAAGTTTTGGGCAATCTATAGGGTTGTGCGAATATTCGAAATTTCGAATAGTAGTTCCGAATAACACACTATTCGATATTCGCTTCGAAAAGAACTGCACTATTCGCGTTTTTCGAAGTGTTGATTACGGCGAGTTAGCCCCGTTGAGTGCGCTTCTTACCAAGCACCGGTGCGCTGTGGAGAAGCAAAACCCGCGAAAGTGAGCTCCGCGAGTGTTGCTTCTCCGCAATACATCTGTGCTCGCTAAGAAGCGCACTTAACGGGGTAGCCCGCCGCGGTAAACAATATCGTAATTGCATGCTCAAGAAAAGCACACATTCAAAGCGGGATGGTGCACCTGTGCCAACTGTATTTAAAAATAGATGGAAACTTTGTGAATGTGTATATCTACATTGTAGTAAAAGTTTCAAAATTAAACTTTTATGAAAGAGTATACAATGTTAGGCAGAGATGCTTTTACAACCAATGTTCATCATGCGCGACTAATTCTTTTTTAACTTGAGATTAAAAAAAAATAGTTTATATATCAAGATTTGTAAATTCACTCAATTGGTATAGTTGGCCATCTATATAGGATTCATTTTATGTAAAATCTGTCGTTTACTTGCCATCCAAAGACACCAGACCTTCTGAGATCACAGATCATAAATATAGATAGATTAAGCTTAGCTTATGAATGAAAAAGTGGAATAACCTTTACAGGTTTAGCTGGGTTTTCGTCTAAGCATTATTCAATGGTAGTGAAAGGCGTGGAAAAACTATTCGATATTCGAATCGAAAATATTCGGCCAAAACGACTATTCGATTCGAATTCGGTTCGGACTCAAAATCCACTATTCGCACAAGACTAGCAATCTACGTTGCCACTTTGCAGACGACGTACGCGTCGATTGAATGTTGCCGACAGATGGCGTACGCCGCATCTAGGAAGCGCCGGCCGATTTGGGTTGATAGCGGACGATAGAGAAAAGTGCCGCCGTCTGTCAGCGACACTTCTCTCTATGCGTGTGTCGTCTGCGAAGTAACGGTGTAAATTACCCGGTTTTAGTTTGTTTGTTTTTTTCAAACAAAGCAAGCACATTTGTTTTTTTGTAAATTTTTACCACCTGCTTGCACCTCTGTGGTAAATTGCAGCGCAATACGTCAAGAAACCAACTTCTGCAGCCAGTCTAAATTGCCTCAAAAGTGTTAGTGTACACCTTGTCACTGGTGGATGCCCGACCTGCCCCAAGCGGCAAACACGCCGAAGCTCTACGGGAGTTTCCGCAAACCGCCAGACGCGTCCATCTTGGCGCGGCCCGCTTTTTGGCGTCGCCCCTCCTGAGACACCGCAGCACATGCTGGCGGCAATGCTGACGTGACCTGGGCGCCCAGGTCCTGCCACAGATTTTCCAAGGTCTAGCCGCACGGCGTGCGAGTTTGTCCGACCAAACGATTGTGCACGTGCATGCGCCGGCACAATGGTGCGTCGTCTACAGCCAACACCTCTACAAGTAGAGACTGAGGAAGCGAGACGAGGGCGTGCGGGGACGTCGAACTGCCGAGCTATGGCTGGAAGGTTTGGCGGGGAAATGCATGGCTAGCTGCATTTGCCTCTACTCGCTGTTCAGACGCCTTTGAAAGCAGAATGCCGGCGTGCAGCGTTCGCTTTCGAATGGCGAGTAGAGACAGGGGCAGTCAGCTTTGCGTCTGCCCCTGTCTCTATTTTTCTTTTTTATAAACTAGGCGGTGGCAGTGGCGGTTCAGAGCAATTGTGCAGCCGACGACGTCATTAAGAGTTATTGCGAAGGATGATCACGCAATTTCCCCAGAAGGCTCCCACTAACAGCTGTCATTATAAAATAAAACGAGCAAACCTGAGGATACTTGAGGTTTTCGTCGACCCTGCTCAAGCTGGCAAGGATGAATGCCGCCGTCTTGCCCGTGCCGCTCTGAGACTGGGCAATCATGTTCTGCGGTCTGCGTGAGGAATGCAATAATCCGTGTCACTTTGTAGCCTTCTTTATCTTTAGCACTTTTTTAAAATAAGAAACAGGCGGAGGACAAAGCAGACAAGAATGAAAGTGAGTTGCAGTCATGCAGAATCAAGAAGACGTTGAATACAAATCTATACGCATCTTAATCCTTGAAACAAAGTCAGGAAACACAGAAAGTGCAGCATGTTCTCAGCTCCACCCATTATTGAGTTAACAAAGACACAAGTACATCACCAGCTATCGACACACTAACCAAAGTCACACCCCTAGCTCAAGCGAGAGGGCATGGGGTTGCTGAGCAGGAGGTCGGTGGTTAGTTCCTGCCGAAGGGACAGTCTTTTGCAAAGACAGCCAGCTGCATTATCATAGTTTTCGTTACAACACTTTGTGAAGCTCTAGGCTTGGAGACCAGCCCTGAAACAGATTCAGCACTAAATAAAATAAAACGGCCACACAGAGGACAACGTACGGATCTGCCAGTAGCGTGGGAAGTGCAGTCTCCTGGATCCGTGAGGGTAGATCGAAGCCGATGGTGTAGACGCCCTTCAGGAGTTCCGGGCGCCTGTGAATGATTAAACTGATAAACACTCGGCCGCCTTATTTCAAAGAAGATGTAAGCTAGAGCAGTTTCTAAGGGAACTTCAGATTGTGGAAGTAATTGTTCACTGCAAAATCGCTGCAACCGCTAGTGCGACCGTAAAAGGAGATGTGGCCACCGGTAGCTTAAGAAACGCAAGGTATGGAAAGTCCTCGAGCATCTTACTATCATTCTGCAGCCAATGGGATTGTGGCACTGGCCAACATGAATGCCAGAGAGTCAATCGCAGATCCAGAGGCTTGAAGATGATATGCTCCGCCTTGCAGTGCTTAGGCCGCCAGCGACTGAATAATCCAAGGAGGTAGGAAGCTTCTGCAGGCGGCATCATGCCACCAGAGGTGAAGCCAGAAGTGTGGAGCGACACACACCCAATGATGACCAAAACCACAGCTGTTTTTGGTACCCTTGGGCACCCGAGGGTGACCGAAATAGCTGTGGCTTTGGTCATTGTCGGGAGCGTGTACCACCACACTTCTGGCTTCACATTTGGTGGCATGTCACCTCCAGAAGCTTCCTACCTCCATGATATAATCTACTGAAACAAGCTGGCTGAATCCAAGTCTATATTAGTGAATCTTGTTTGTTTCCGCTTTCAGCTACTGTACTCGTCTACTGCGACTTTCCCCAAGTGTGCTTCATGACCTTGTTCCGACAGCAAGAACAGCGAAAAACAAAACTGTCTCTCCAGCAAATGCACATCATGAATTTGGAAGAAGTGACAATGGTAAATATTAAAGTAGAAATTAACATACTCTGATCCCCAATTTATACACCACCTGTGTTACTTGACTAATGTGCCATCCCTCTTTATGTAAAAGCGGTTGCGATATCACCGAACCCAGTGTACAAAAAATAATGCCGTTTCTACCTTTTTATCAAAAAAGTGCAAAAAGCATCGCTGCATAAAGAAATGCTCTTTATGAAATAAAGTATGTAGATTGTGCGCATGTGTGTTTTCTCTATCAACACCACGCTTTGTGTTTCTTTTTTGCAGCAGGTATTTTACAACTCCTTGGGAAATCCAAATCATGGGGAAAATGTCTCGAATTCACTTAATGTCAGCATAAGAAACCATTGTTTTAAAATTAGGCTTTATCTGACCATGCTCCAGTGATAAGCATGCCCACAGCATGCTTATCACTGGAGGCACCACCAAACAGAGTTAATCGAGCTTGTCCCCCCACGGAAACACCAACTGCTCTCGCTTCGTCAGCGATGCTGGACCAATGCATACGTACAGCTTCAGCTCTTCGAAGGTCTTGACGGAGTACAGCGGAGAGTTGGGGTCTTTCCTCTGCACCTCGACATTGTGCGTACTCAGCACAAGCCTGGATCTTATGATCTTCTGCATAAGGGACGTCTCAGCTGGCGATATGCCTGAACGGAAAGCAGAATCGCGTTTAACACCTCCTTTATTCATCTTTCATCAGGCATTATACAGTCGAATCTCGTTATAACAGACCTTGATTTTGACCAAGATTTCAGCCTGTTGTAAAAGGAGTATGTCGTATGCAGATATAAAGTTGAGTCAATGGTACATAGAGCAAAAACAACCGAACTTCACAAATCGGTATGTTATATCCAAATGTCTTTTGTAACCGGGTCTGTTCTAACGAGCTTAGAATGTAGCAGGGGGAAAACAAAGCCAAAAAAGATGTTTCTACAACTGAGGTACGAACAATCTCGCAAGGCTGAGCATTTCACTCCTCAATGGTTTTAACAAAAAAAAAAAAAAAAGACCCTGATCCAATTGCATCCCGGCATGAAGCTCAGCTAATTTGTGGGTTTGGTCTTTACATTGTGAAATATAATTAGGAGGTAAAAAGATATGACAAACGATTAATGACAGTGGTTAGATGACAGATACTGTATAAAAACTTTGAACTTAAGCTCTCATCACACTGCCACTGAGTTTTATCCTAGCTCCTTCATCGTATTTGTGACACTGTCATAGCAACTACTCTGTCCCAGGGCAAAGCGAGCAGCGCAATCTTGAATGCTCTCTAGCTGTTCAATGTGACTTCCTTGGGAAGGGCCCCAGACACTGCAGGCATACTCCAACACTGGGTGCACATAGGAAAGATGGGCAAGCTCTTTTAAGTGCGAGTTCATTTTTTTTTCTTCTAAGTTTTGATGCAGAAATTTAAGTGCTCACCTGGCCCTCACAACATTGTCTATGTGCACATTTCATGTAAAATGAGCCACAAGCGTGCCAGCTAGATCTTTGAATGCTTGTTCTTTTGGTACAACTTCACTGCCCCTTGGAGAAAAGAAACAAAAGGAGGCCTTTAATACAGGGACGGCAGAACCTACTGGGTTCGTCGCCATTCTCCTGAGGACAGGGTGCTTCTGGCTCCTTGGGGGCATCGCCAGCTCTGGTAGCACCACTAGCCGAAAGGCTGACGTCCTTCACCTGGAGAGAGACGAAATGATACGGAAAGTTGCTGTCATTTGGGGCTGCAATTTTCATCCAACACCAGTCCGTTATTTTGAGAAATTGCCGGTTAAGGAGGTTCTGGTGTGAAAATGCGTGAGGATGTGCTCAAGTGAGCGCCAGCGCTCCCTCAACCAAAGAAGTTAGATTCTGCTGGCACCACCGAGCAGCAGTGACCTAGACTAAGGTCCTCCAGCGTCTCTTCTGTGCCCATGGAGGCTTATCTTTCACCCCCAAGTTTGTTCAAAAACGCTTGTTTCCCCCTTTTTTTTTTAACGGCGCACATTGTTAATCTCGGAAATCCTGAAACTCAGTTTGCTGCCAGGTGACATGTGTTCCGCATGTCTGCAAGCAGTGGCAATCAGTTCATCGAACAATGTTTTATTGACAGCTCGTTTCATCGACAGCTCAGATTAGCTTTTCTTCTGTGGCCGCGAAGTGGCGTGTACGGGTCGGTCAGGTGGGTTAACATTTTTGTAATGAGCCTGCCGCAGACTGTGGCCGCGAAGCGGCGTGTACGGGTCGGTCAGGGGGGTTAACATTTTTGTAATGAGCCTGCCGCAGACTGTGGCCGCGAAGCGGCGAGTAAGGGTCGGTCAGGTGGGTTAACATTTTTGTAATGAGCCTGCCGCAGGATGTCGCCGCGAAGCGGCGTGAATGCAGACGTAAGGGGAGGGGAGGGGGGTTAACGCGCATCCCAGTGATACACGCGTGACGAAATGTCCCTACAGCGTGCAATTCGCGTAACGAGGGTCGATGAAACGATCGCGTCGACGAAACATGTCGATGAAACGTGTGTTCATGAAAAGTTGTCCACGATACGAGCTTCGACGAAATGACAGGGACCCATGACGCCGCGCTTTATCGCCGAAGTTTAATCGGCGCTCCCGCCAACTTTCGGCTTCAACTTTGTGTTTGATGAGCCTACAGCCACAGGTGTAACAGCTATCTCTCAAACAAAACAAAGATCAAGAAAAAAAAATATTTCCCCGCAAACATGGGCTCACGATTCTCGACGGTATGAAATGTAGTAGCGAAAAATCATCCGGAACTGTGGGAATCACTTTCTTTTCCCCAGCTTCCCATAGACAGAAAATGAATCATACACCAGAAATCTAACAATCTGTGATTGTTAAAAGTAGCAACATCTAATTGAAAAGTTGTGCCCGACGGTAACGAAGCGATCTGACAAACCACCGATATTCGTTGTCATGTGCCACTATCTTTGGCTGTCCGGGTGCAAACAAGATTTGACGTTAGAAAGGTAACTATCCCGAACTCGCGATATGTAAACTTTGCGCGCTGTCGCCAGTCAGGATTTCTAAACTAAGCAAGACTTTGACTAAATTGGAGACAGAATTAAACTGCGCGTGCACACCGGCGTCCCAGAATCGGAAACTGCCTACCTTGTCAGTCAACGTAGAGACGACCGACTGCTCTTGGGCGTCTGCTTCTTGACCCCAGCTGGCCATCGTTTACTCAAGAGGCGTTTACGATAATCTCCTAGAATTGTATAAAGTTTTAAATTTACCTACAGCTGAACAAATCGCTACTTGTCACTTTGTGCGGCAGAATTGCACGCACGAAAGAAAAACTTTACGATGTTGATGTCACTCGCATCTCTTGCATCATTTTCTGAGCATTCAACCAACCACCATCCGTTGCCACGGTTGCCACCATCCAACATCGAGAATGTTCGCAACTTTTCTAGAGCATTAAAAAAAACTATCTGCTTTGTTTTCATAGAATCTTTTGCTTTACCTATTTCTAAATAATGCTTGTATTTTTAGTTTGCTTTTGTTGGTGCGTTGGTGAAGAGTGCATTTATCTTTGCGGAAGACCAACGCATGAGGCTGCTGCGATCGCCAACATCAAAATTTCAAAATGGCGAACTGGAACCAACTTCAACAGCAGCTTCGGCACCCGAATAATCCTGTGGTGTTCTTTGATATTACCATTGGTTCCACGGTCAGTATTTGTTCCAAGCGAAAGCGATCGATGCTGCCTCGTTTTTTTGGCGTTTTTTTAACCTATAACGCAGTGTATTGAACTTGGACGCACTGCGTCCACATGTCCACTGCGCTGCAGCGGCATGATTTATGCCCATGTTTTTGCTTCAAGTTGTTTATTTAGGATACAGACCACCGAAAAGCTACCAGTGACAACTTGTTGGCTGAATTTTGAAACCTTTGTTAAACATTTCTTGTAAAAACTATGGCTATCTTTTTTTTTTTTTTTTTTTTTTTTTTTTTTTTTTCCCGTTTTACAGGAGGTGGGACGGATGAAAATGGAACTTTTCTCGGATGTCGTCCCCCGGACAACTGAGAATTTCAGGTAGGTCGTCATGAATAGTGTTATTTTGACGATCAATTCATTGCGCCGTAACTGTTGTCCGTTGTGTGAGCCGCATAAAATGCAAGCGACGTCTGTTGCGCGTTTCTTTTCTGCAGGCAATTTTGCACCGGTGAATACAAGAAAGATGGTGTTCCGATAGGCTACAAAGGCTCCACATTTCATCGGTAAGCAACGTGATAACATCTTGTACCTTTAGAAGTCGTAAACAGCTGTTCATGGATTTTATTTTTCAAAATACAACCACAAAATTTACGTGAGACCAACTTTGAGCACCAAAAAATGTCGTCTTGTCTCGCATCAAGTTGTCCTAACTTAGCGCGAATCAACCTTTCCCTCGAAATTTTATTGATGTTACCTAGCACTGTGCAATGAGCTCACGTGGATGTTTGCACCTGTAGGGTCATTAAGGACTTCATGATTCAAGGAGGGGACTTCGTTAATGTGAGTTGCCCGACGGAATCAGTTTGGCAAGAAATATTTAACACGTCTCGCATTTCAGGGGGACGGCATGGGACTTATGAGCATCTACGGAGGTTCCTTCAGTGACGAAAACTTCAAAATGAGGCATGATGCCCCAGGTCTTTTGTCCATGGTAAATCGATAATATATTTGCCCTTTTGTCGATTAAGCGAACTCAAAAAGAAATGCCGAGATATTTTGAATTAAACTTTGCAGTGGTAAAGCTTCTTTGTTTTTGGTCGCAGGCTAACAGTGGAAAGGACACAAATGGCTGTCAGTTCTTCATCACGTGTGCCAGATGTGATTTCCTTGACGGAAAGCATGTAGTTTTCGGTAAACGACTTGTTCAAATTCTGCTATTAGCACATTGTCTTTCGGAATGATTTTGGAATTGATCATAATTCGTAGATGAAACTCGTTTTGTTTTAAAATGATCTTTTGTTGCAGGACGAATTCTGGACGGCCTTTTGGTGATGCGGAAAATTGAGAATGTTCCCATCGGCCCCAACAACAAGCCGAAGATTCCTGTCATCATTTCTCAGTGTGGGGAGATGTGACATCACCAGGTCATCCAGGCACCCACATTACCATGTCTTGCCATTTCATTTTCATGTTAATAAATTGCTATTTCTGAAACGTACATGACATGGCTGTATGGGTATCGTTCTCTCTCTCCCAACGACTGTCGTGAGGCCTCCTAATCAACATACTGAAACCCGAGACTGAGGTAAAAAGGACAAAACACGTCTCAAACACAGCTACACAGTTTTAGACGGCTCATTTTATTTTTTTTGTCTCGTTCTACATACCTGGCCCACTCGTACACGCCGCATTGCGGCGGCCGACCATTCGCTAAAGTATCTTAATGAAAAAAGTCAGGCGGGACTTCATTCGCTAAAACTTTGTTCGACCAACTGAGTACCACCCCCCACAAAGTACACTCCACTAGGTTTTTGTTCAGAAAGTTTATTAGCCCCAGCCTGACATCCTTATGCCCTTCCTGAGCAGTGGCACTTGCTCGAGTAAAGATTGCTCCTCTCCGTTTTATCATAAGTTCCTCCAGCAGGCTTCTAGTTTCTCCCCTTATTGTATTCCTGGTTCGATCTTGAGTGCAGTCTGCCTCCCTTCACTATAGTGAGAAGTGTGAACGCTACTGATAAAAATATATTTATTTTGTACTTCTGCAGATAACAACGAAAAGTATGCTGAAGCATAATTGCAGTTTACATGTAATATATGTGGAATATACTTTCTGTGTACAGAATGCATTGCTGAAATGTTGGAACACTAAATCTGTATTAAAAATATAAATCGATATTGAAAGAATATTAATTTGTACTAAGAATATACTTTTAGGTAAGTATATGTTCGTTACAGAAGAGTACAAAATTAGTAGGCTTTATTGCATTCTCTTGCACTTGAGCAACAACCGACACGAACCATGCCTGATTAGCACCAAATGTTAAAGAAAACTCATTTGTCAAAGTTGGCCTTATGATCTGGTGGGCATGATACAGACAAACTAGGATACTGGTTTTATAGTGGCACTGGTGTCATCAAGCAAATAGTACACAGAAAACGTAGCAACAGTGGCATTGGATGACACTGAAACTAGCAGCAAAAGTATTTTAATGAGCTGCTTACATAATTGATGCTATTAGCTAATGTTTTTGTTTCCATGATTATTGTTATCACTTAGACGGTGGTTATCACTTGCTTGACTTGATATTAAAGTATTTGCACCCTATTGATAGGTTTTTCAGGGGACTGCCTTAAAAGCCTTTAGTCTTATGAAATGTACCAACTGATAACTTGCTGATCTATAGACTATAGGTCAGACAGGAAGAAGCTCTTGCACAGTAATCTATTTCATGTGAACTATCACGGCCTATGGGGATCAATATTCAAAAAAAGCACTGCCTTTTTCTTGCGGCATTGCATTTTTTTAATTAGCCGCTGATCTATAGACGCCTTCCACATGCGCCAGATTACAGCCGCCGTTGCTGACCTCTTGTTTTACCGAGATGCCGAGCCACTGAGGCGGGCGTTGACGAGTCTCCACAAAGGCCTATGCTGGGCACAAGGACACAGTAACACTTAAAATGTCAATAACCTGTCCTGCTGTGGTAATGATGAAGTGGAGCGAACGGAATAAGAGGGAACGAAAACTAAAGGTCAATTATGAAGGCGCCCATGCACAGCTGCTGCAATGCGTTTATAATTGTGACTAAAGATATCCTATGTAGCAGATATGCTGCGAAGAGGCATCGAACTTTGCCCAGTGGACTTTTCTCTTCATGTGGCGTCAGAACTGGCTGTTGTTGCACCACGCACGAAGGGAACGTGTCGCCCATTGGCGATTTTTGTGTGTTTTGGACGTGCTTTCACGACTTCTTTAGACCGCTAGACGCTGTGAAAGTCTAGTCCTTTCGAGAAAGCTGGCGAGCGAATCTGCAGTGACAGCTTTCTAATCTAGCTGCAGGTGCCATCAATTATGCTAAAATCACCAAAATTCTCTCCATGGAATTCAGCATTCGAAGGCTGGACTCCATAACACAAATGGGTGACGAAGAACTGGCAATATTGGTTCGGTGGTAAGTTTGCTTTGCATTTGGCACGACAGCCACTGTTTTGATGCCACGCCCGGAGCGAACACCGCCCGGCAAAATTCGCCGCTTTCGCACAGCTTATTCGCTCCGTGAGGTCTTCTAGCCTTTAGAAGGCAAAATTTCTTGCCAGGCCATTGTGATCACCCAGGGCTTCCTTGTGTCTGCTGCTGCTCCTAGCACGCCGGAGCGAAGCGGGGAAGCTTAACGCGCGCGCCGACACAAAGTGGAAGCTTGGCGCGCGTGCTGAGGCAAAGCGGTGAAGCTTGTCGCGCGCGCGGGTGCAAAGCGGTGAAGCTACATGCGCGCGGCCGTGCAAAGCGGTGAAGCTTGTCGCGCTGCAAAGCGGTGAAGCTGCATGCGCGCGGCCGTGCAATGCGGTGAAGCTTGTCGCGCGCGGGGCGCGTATTGTGATTCCCTCACGGAGTAAATCCATGGGACTAATCTAGGGCCCCTGATTTGCCTTCTTTAAACAACACAGCTAGACACACGTGGCGAGGGCGGCTTCTTTTCTGACTCCACACACTCCCCAGGTTTGAGGGAGGCTTAAATAAACAGCCGCCAATGGTTCTCGCGTAAACGGATGCTACCTCGGAGGTTTGCTTACGGCCCTATCGGAACCGGTCATCTTCGCACCGGTTTTATGTGCGATTAATGTCGCGGGCCCGACGCTTTTAACGCGCGTACGCGGCGTTGTTTTTGCGGCCAAAACTTGTTTGCCGCCAATATCGCCGTCCTGGTGGTCGCCATTGCACGTCACGCTGCCACATTCGCGCATTTCAGTGCACTCCTCGTGATGCAGTTTTCTGCTCGGCTTTCACGGGCCGTTTTGTCTGGAACAATGAGCGCGAAATGTCACGGTCGTCTGCTTCCCGAAAGAGCGGGACGTTCAAATGGGCCAGCCTATACTCTGTTTCATACTTAGCGTGCAACGCTGTCAAAGCTACTGGAGCGAGCGCGTGGCTTCATCTATGGTTTTGTTTGAGCGAGAACGCGTGCAAATGATCACCGGTGAGCTTTTCTCCGGTGAGCTTTTCTCCGGAGAAAAGCTCACCGGAGAAAAGCTCACCGGAGAAAAGCTCACCGGAGATAAGCTCACCGGAGATAAGCTCACCGCAAAACCGGCGGATGCGGAGAAAAGCTCACCGGCCATTGAGCGTGTGCGCAGAAAAGCTCACCGATATTTTTTCTTCTTATTATATAGAGGCTGTTGGATCGTCCGTAACACATATCAATTTATTATCATCAAAATTCGTCAGCTTTGTAAAAAAAAATGTCCTCTTTTGTAATATTTGTTAAGCTTAATGGGTATATTGCTCCCAAATTAATAATTGCGGGCCAGTGTTTTTTGTGGCTTACTCTCTAGGCAACGAAAGCCTAACTAAAATCTTTATGAACTTGAAGAACAGGAAAAAGTAAAAAAAAAAAAAAAAAAAAACGTAATGATGACTGCTTAAAACCTAAAAATCAAACGTGTAAATGCCGAAAATTCAAAAGTGCACGCGCAACACCGCGGTGCCCGAAATTCTCTTTGAAGCTTTTGTTAACATTCTAAAACAGGATAAAACAGTCGATAGAATATTGAGGCTTCTTTCTTCCACGGACATGCACGCGTTCTAACCGTTCGTGCTAGTGTTTCCACACGTTCCCTTTGTGTGATAGTGTCCTACGGTGCGCCAGCCATCACCTTCAGAGGTGCACACTCTCTCCGTTGTTATTCGTGAGCTATATAACAACTAGTCATTTGTGAGGTAGGTAGCGAATTGGGCGAGCTGGTAAACGTTATACATGATGAAAACCGCTCAAACGACGACGACGGAGTGAATACAACAAACACGACACGACGAAGCTGTTCTCGCAACTAAAGTTTTGTTAGTAAAATTAACAGAAGAAAAACAGCGTAGCCTACACTGATTGCATTAACAAACATCTACTTGTCTATTAGGTACTACACAATATTTGGACCTCAAGCGATTCACCACACCGCTATTCATATTATAGCTAGCAAAAAATGAACCTCTTTATCCGACAGAGCTACCGACGGCGCACCCTCAGCTGTCAATAAATTGATGCCTTTTTTACCGGTGTACGATGTTCTGATTTTATACTTGCGGCTTCATTAATTTACAGAATGCGTGATTACTAATTTCTGAGGAATTAGTAAAGATGCCCAATGAACCTCAAGAATATTACAAAAATGAGGACATATTTTTAATGAAGTGACGAATGCGAATTGTGTTAAATTGCCACGTTTTACGCAGAATCAAACTAAGCTAAAAAAATATCGGTGAGCTTTTCTCTGCATCTGCCGGTTTTGCGGTGAGCTTTTCTCCGGTGAGCTTATCCCCGGTGAGCTTTTCTCCGGTGAGCTTTTCTCCGCCGCCCCGCGCCAGTAGCTTTGACAGCGTTGCACGCTAAGTATGAAACAGAGTATAGACGCTGCCATATCGAGTGGCTCTAGGCCAGCCCTATGCTTTTTACACCACGAGGAAATCCCAATGCGTTGCCCGAGTAAGACGCACGCGCTGTATGGTGTTTTCACGTCAGATCGTGCAATGATGGTCTGAGTCATATTTTGTCTTATATTAATGCAAAAAAAAAAAAAATATATATATATATATATATATTGTCAAGAAGGTGAAAACGACGACGGGGCAGTGGCGCGCACGAGCATCTCGCGCCAGGCCCCACGGGCCGGCTCGGCCTCCATAAATCCTTTGTGTGTTCTATCATCGTGTACTGTCCCGTCCTTTCTGCTGCCGACAGCATCACCCCAACAATATATATATATATTAAAGTTATGTTCTTGGCAGGAGTATTCAGCTATATGCGAACGTTGTAGCTACTTTTCTTCCGGATATACAAAAATTTCGAAGCTGGAGGCGTGGAGATTGCCAAGGTTTCGCTGTGGTACGTTCCACAGCCGTCAAAGTAGTAATTTGTTGAGCATAGTTTGTGGGGGACAGTGAGCAGCACTGTATGTAGAAGACGGGGCCGGGAGAGAAGAAAACGAAGGGGCGAGGCTCGTGGTGGG